CAATGCAAGATGAAACACTGATGCCACCTCGTTGCTGTCAAAAAATAATTCCGATTGATTTAGCTAGATTAACATCGAAGGAAATAGAAAATTTTAATGCCAAACATCTCGAATACTCAACAAAAGATCGTCTTTATTGTTCACAACCTACTTGCTCGACATTTATTCCTCCAGCACTGATTGTTGATAGCATTGGTATATGTCCAAAGTATGTCTAAAGAATTACATTTGAAGTTTCGTTTAAATTAAATTGATGAAATTGACGCTCATAAATGTTTTTATTTATTATTTGTATCCTAGACCAGGCTGCCAAGTAAAAACATGTTCTATTTGCAAAGCGGCTAGTCATGGCAATTTTGATTGTCCCAAGGATGAAGCAACATCAGCTGTTCTTGCAACAGCTCGTGAAGCCGGCTGGACTCGTTGTTATCAATGTCGAGCAATGATAGAGTTGACTCATGGCTGTTACCATATGACTTGTCGTTGCCGTGCCCAATTCTGTTACATATGTTCAACACCCTGGAAAAATTGCCAATGTCCCCAATGGGATGAACAAAATCTTCATGATGAAGCTCGTGCCCGTGCTGAAAGGTATTTATATGATTCATAAGCGACTATAAAATTAGAATTATAGAAAAATACAATTGTTTTTTTTTCTTAATTAGAATTCCTGCTCTTCAAATACCACATGCCAACAATAGAATACAGATGAATGAATATGTACAACGCATGGCTAACCAACTGCGTGCTAATCATGAGTGTGAACACACTAATGGATGGGCATATACACCAGGTGGAGGTAGATGTGAAGAGTGTAGTGATTTCTTACCACGATATCTGTACCGTTGCTATCAATGTCATTTTATGGCTTGTAATCGGTGTCGACGTAATAGATTATAATAATATCTGAAATTAGTTTTTCTTTTCATACTTATCATGAACAGTTTCTAAAACTAAACGCGAACAGTTTTTGAGAAAAAAATTTTAAAATAAAATCCAATATAATCTATTCAGGATCCACCCATGTCTAATTTGCTTTGCTTTATAGGCTTTGAAATTATTGTTTGATGAGTGTACCAATGAAGGATGAGGAAGATGTGAACATCTCATTTCAATTGAATTCTAATTGTTGATTGACAAGTGTTGCAACAGAGTTGGTATTGAGGAATAAATGTTGTCGAATTCAAGGGTGTGGGTATGGTTAATGCGAGTACGGAAATCTTTTTCTTGAAACCGCCACCAACACTCAGACTCCAAGTGATATTTGAAAATAATTCTTAGGACTAAATAGTCGTTCATCGAAGTATTTTTAATTAGCTAAGGACTTAATATATAACTACGAATATTCACATTAAATAGTGATGTTTATCTTTAAATAGACATTCACTTCGAGATATAAAGAATGAATATGTGACTAAGTCTTTATTAAAATTAAGCATATCATTACAAAACTCCACTACGTCCTTCAAATAAATCATATCGTAAACACCAACAAATAATATGAAACATTATTGTTGATACTCAATATCAGAAATTCTGCAGATAAAACAACATTACTTCTTACGGTTGCCTTGAAAGATACATGTCACTTTTATCTGAATAATAGTCTAGAACAACATAACTCAGTCACTTCCAAAGCTTTCTACTATTAATCATAGATGAGATAGTTTCCTAAAAAATAAGCGATGAGCAATGATAGATGTCGCTGTATGTTGAATGTTCTAGATTTTTATATTACATATAGTTCTCTTTAAAATATCTTTTTAACCATCTAAAAATTCAGTAAATTTATACAAATGATAGCTATTGAAAAAACCGTTCATCATGAATTTTATTGGTTGAGTAATAAACTAACTAATACAGTCCCCTAGAGTTACAAAAAAATCAAAATAAAATGGCATTAAAATGATGATGAAACCAACAGAACAATGATGCATTTCAGATTCATTAATTAGAATGGTCAATTTCATGGCATGATTTTGATTAAAAATCAAATTTACTACATTACTTGGTAAGAATGTCCGTTATCATCAATGAATTTGGAAAGCATCAATATTTTTGTCCGTTACATCATTGAAGGGTGTGGGTGTGCGTATGAGTCTTCTCTCATACGCACACCCACACCCACCCAAAATAACGCAGATTTTATTATAGCTACTGATCCAGATACTGATCAATTTACATTAAGTGAAAGAGATACCACTAGATCACCAAAAACTAGTTGGAGAATTTAAACTGAAAATCTATTTGATTTAAGCAAGGAACTTTTTTGTGGAATAGATTGATGGCTTTGGTTTACTTGAAGTAATCGAAATCCAACAGGTGATGTTAAAGATATTTATATATGATTTATTCGACTGTTTCATCACATATACTTAAATCAATTGGTGACCTTGAAGATTTCAATACGATTGATATATTAACAGGTTTTAAATAGCTCGAAAATATATCACATGAATTACTTAATAATAAAAAACATATCCTTTTTGGTTTTGAAGAAGCTATGTAAGTTAAACATTTTATCTTTGAAAAAATTTACAAATTTTTCTTTAATAGATTTATGTGTGATTCTCACAATATATTAAATATTATTACTTTATGGTTATCATATTAATACCATGAAATACTTATTCAACATTTACATAAAATTAAATCTCATTTGAGTATTGATGAAAATCAACCAACAGGTTCTAAAGAAAAAGAATATGTTTATCTAAAAACATGTACCAGTTGCCATATAATTGACGTTAGAGATTTGACTGTTGAAATTGAAGCTAATTTTCGTGGTGAAGATAAAAATAAAAAACCAATACTTCCTTATGCAGCATTAACACAAATGATGAGATTTTATTTTGATAATGATTGTGAAATAATAGTACGTTCAAGTGAAACTGAACCAAAAATTAAATGATATTCGAAAAAGAAACAACAGCTAAATGAACAACAAAACTTTTTTTTAATGACATTCCAATTGATAGCCTTTCTTTTAAAAATTTTATTTTTATTTTGAATTCTCACACAATTTGTCTTAACACAATTATCACGAAAATGTGCTATGACTTGGAAAGTTGGTACTGATTTATGTATCGAAACTCTTCCCAATCAAGTCATTTAGTATAGATCTTTTTTTTTTATCAATTTAGTGAATTTTTTCAAAGCGTTTTTTGCCATATTCATATGAATAGTTAGTGTATCTTATAAACTTGCCGTTCATAGATAAATTACAATTTTATTAGTGCATAAATTGATGATAATTTGTTAGACCTATTTGAAAAGTATTGAGCAATTTATTGTCACACAATTTAAAATAATGCAATCTCATTCGATATTTTTCCGCTCTTTTACAACAATATTTTGAGATGTATGCGCAGCAAATTACGTAATCTTGAACATTGATTCGAAATTTGCGATGAACTAGCACGTTATTTATAATGTACTATTATTTTGCTTTGAAATGCATCCATTTTACTGAATACTCTAGTTTATATGAAAAAAAAAGTGTTATTGAACAGACAGAAATCAACCACATGACATTCATTTTGGTTCTGCTTCTTGATAGAATGCTTACCAATAGTCTCCGCCAAACCAATTTGAACATCTAAATGCTCTATAGAGCTAGGTATTCTAATTTGCTCAGCCTTCTGAAGTTACCGAAATACTCTTCAGTTACTAGTTGATGAATGAGCTATCGATAAGATAATTCTCAACTGTTGAAGAAAACAATAGGAGAGACAAAGTGACACTTACATCGAATCTTCATGAAATCATGATAAAACATTATCGCCATTGGTACAGTGGATACAGACAATGTTGTCAATTGAGTTCTGAACGGATTCGAAATTTAACCTAATCTTGGCAAAAAAGAAGTTTATTTTTGTTTCTGAGTTGAAATGCCACTTAATATGCTGTGGAATATTAAATTCAGATGATGTTGGAGATAAGAGCGAAATCGAACTTACACTTAAACTAAAAACTGCCATCGAAAAATGCTCGGAATGAGACTGAAGAAGAAATAACAACTATTAGATGAACGTGATTCAACTAAAATTATGGTGAAGAAAGAATAATAGTAAGAGTTACATCCTATATATAAACGATAAACGCAGAACTATCTAATACTACAGTGTATCGTTGCAGCTTAACTGGATCACAGTAGTCGATCGAATATTCAAAGATATGGATTTGACTCTCATTCGTTGTATATATATTGATGTCTACATCAACATATTGAATGCTTTGCTAGCAATCTATGTGTTGTTACAATGACGCACTCTCGCTACACTACCTACTCTTCAAATTGTCACTGTCAAACAGTGATGTGTTGATGTTCGATGGAACACAATTCACATAGGATGTAGGTATTATTCGTCTCTTTTTCTACAAAGAATATTTTTTTACTATTAGTGGAAAATAACAAGAATTTGTCACATTTTGAATGACAAAAGAAAAAATGATGACGAACAATTCGACTTTAGTACCATTCTGAGAAAATTACTTTTCGATTCTCAGATAAGATACGAAAATCAAGTTGCACATATTATCGAAGTAAAAATATGTTGTAGAAGCTATTGAAGTCTTGAGCAATGTATATTAATTCGTTAGACTTCTTCGCCAATTTGTTGAATGTTTCTTTTTGAAAAGATGCCTTGAGTTGTGATGATATTCTAAAATATCTATTTATTGATAATTGTCATTAAGTTCGATCATGTTGGTCTGCTTCTTTGTTATTCCATTTTCTCTTTTGACTCACTTAGACGATTATTGAACACATAAGAAGAAAATTATGGAATAATATCATTCTGAAGAGAAATGAGTCACTAACTTGAAAAATTTTCTTTTTTTTTCTGTCTGATTTGTTATATTATATGACGTTGTATGTCATTATTTTTAGACGATTATTGTGAATGATGTCAATGAGCAATTCAAGGTCAACATAAATATATCAGTCTATTGATAATGATATAAATCGATGCACTTGAAAGTTGATCATTCGATTAATCATGAATGAACATCGATCTCATCTTCAAGATTTACCAGTGGAACTTTTTCTTCATATTTTTGAATATCTTGCTCCGCATGATCTACTTAATGCTTTCAAAAATCTCAATCGACGATTTAACATTATGCTTACTCAGCAGTCACTATGTTTACCAAATAATCGACAAATGAGTGTTCATTTATATCTTTATTATTTAAAGGAAATTGTTAGCAAACATGCTTCACAAATTGTTTATCTTCATTTATCTGAACGAAATGCACCACATGCATTGAATTATTTTCTGTCTGAAGTGCCATTAAATAATCTTGTTTGGTCAGCATTAAAAGCAGTGACCATTGAAGATGTTCCACGTCACGTTCTTGAAATACTCCTTTATGATTGCTCATTCTTATCTAAAATTCATTCATTATCACTCGATGTTGGTTACCATCGATTTCATTGTGAGGAATATGATGAATGTTATGATTTTGGCATTGTTATTCCAGTTCTCAACTGCTTGTCTCAATTAAATTCGCTATATTTACGAATTGCCAGTCGTGTCGGTGAGAATTATACAACGATATTTAGTGAAAGCTGTCCTCCTATGTCTATTCATCAAAATTTACAAACTCTTTCAATAGTTGAATGTTCAAGAGAATTACTGACTGAACTGTTGAATAATGGTCATCTACCAAAATTACAACATCTACGCGTTGTTTTTCCAATGTAAGTAACTGATCGTCAACGAACATGATCAACTATAATTGGTTTTTTTATTGTTTTAGGACTTATGCCAATATCGAGAAAGAATTGTCACGTCCAATTCCATTGAAACAAGCATTTGCACCTGAACTACGTCACGTCAATGTAGAAATTTTTACAGGTGTAGCTTGGGTTTTAACTTTTTTCGAAGATCTTCAACGATACAGTCAACTTGATCAATTAATTATGTCAGGTTATGAAAGATTCGCTGATAATAGTCATTTTCCACGAGTAACAACATTACGTCAATGGGTAACATTGACAAAATCGAAGATATTTAAATTTCAGCTGAACTTGTGCACAATTTATGCGTATAGTAATAATGAAATTACAGAAGAAATCTTTGCTGAATATCGACAAGCAACTGGTGAAGAATCTGTAGCACAATATGGAAAAATAAATCTTTCTTATCCAACAATGTCATTTTCACATCCACTGGAGACGGATGATAACGAATGGGAAGATCTTGATAGTAGTAATGATTCAACAAAGAGTTTTGAATGCGTTCGAGATGCACCAGTGGACAATCATATTGAAGAAGTAAGTTGGATGAGCGAAAATGAACTTCAAACCACTATTCTCTCTTTGTAGATGGATATTTTTGAACTGGATTATGTCGAAGATGAACGGCTTGCACAATTGGAAGCAATATCTTGTTGGTATCGTTTAAGGAAAATAAATCTCGAAGGCGATTGGCCAGATGATAAGTAAGTATCATATCATAGATTTATTGTTAATTTTTTTTTTGAATATAATCTAGTGGTGATGTTGGCGAAAATATTTCGCATTTACTTCATATCGCTCAACGATCACCGTATTTACGTGAACTATATATCAAATCAGATCTAGATTATGGTTATGTTCTTTGCTTGAATAAACAATTGGGAATGTTACTCAGTCAACAGCTTGAAGTCTTACATTTTAATGCTGAACAAGCTAATAGTTCATTTGGTGATCTTGTTCGTATTATTGATAAGTTATTTAGTTATGGTCAATCATCACCTTGTTTAAAACAATTAATCTTAGACATTGATGCACATCTGGATTCCTGGCTTTCTACTCGTCATTTGGTTCGTTGGTTAGGAAAAATATTTAAACGTTTTCCATCACTTATTCGTTTGACTCTAAGTTGTAAAGATGAGGAAGCTTGTCGAAATAGTGAAGAAAATTTATCGACATTAGCTCCTGAATGGTATGTCTACTCGTTACTCTATCGAAAGAAATGGATGCGTTCATTGAAATATCGACATAAACCACATTTAATTGAAATTTGGTTGTAAATATTTTTCTTTTTGAAATAAAGATGAAAGATTTGTAAATTCTTTAGCTTCATGTATTATCTCCTTTGTTTGATTGATGAATGATAGCTTTTTCTCTCGCTACATTCCACCTTCACAGTAAATCGAAATACGAATTCATAATAGCAAAATCTTGGTTTAAATTTTTCAACATAGAGGGTGTGAATGAAGATCTAGCACTTATTGACACCTACACCTTTTTTTGATTCTAGTACTGCTACAAAGATGGAATCCATTATACCGATATAGACAAAACGAAGTAACCGTCCATAATAATGAAAAATATGTAACATGATTCTTGTTCTCGCATTATTTTTCTTATGATAAAGGCTGCATCATCTACAATTTGATCATTTATTCTTTTAATATAACCTGTAACTCTAAAACTTACTTGTATTCGGGGTAGCACTCGTTGCTGTCATTATTATTGTTGTAGTGACAGTGGTTTTCGGCTTCCTTAGAGCAAAAATGATAAATTTTAATAGTAGAGCAAAAGTAGTGGCTTCTATTATTAAACTGATAAGAGAAATACAGATGACTGTGGTTCCACCATAGTTTAGATGTTTATGTCATCCATTATTCACTGTATCATTTACAGAATGTCACTGATCGACATCCATACTTTTTCACAATAAGTTTAACTTGAATCCGAAGAATAATTAAATACAGGCACCATTGTTTTGAACGCAGATAAAAGTAATCGCTATGTTATTATCTTTGTATGATACTTTTTTTTACATTTGATCATGATAACGTAAATTTACTTTTCATTTCCAATGGTTCTCACCTTGAGTGTGCCTATTTTAATGTAATTTGTATTAAGTATACATCATAGAATATGGTAAAACTGTGTACACATTAGAAAACCGTTGTGAAAGAATGAAACAAAAGATATTTCTACCAAAGACTTATCTGATGGTTGATTTTTCAGAGATTCTGTGGTTTATTTATTTATTTTAGTACTGCTATACTTGTTAATATGTTCATTTGGAATAAATAATATTTTTGCTTCTTCCACAGTAAACCAAACTTTACCTATGGATTAGATCATTCATGAAAACTGTTTATAAAAAGAAACAGCTAAAACCCCGTGGTTTGCAGAAACTTTTCAGATTTTCTTGATAAAAATACATCTTCTCATAGTCTGAATCAGGATTCGAAAATTCGTCACTTTGTGTCCATTTTTGGAGGTCACTTGAAAAATCATGATATCTATGAGAGAAAAAAGTTGTATACATAATCATTTTCAGAATCTTCGTTAATGATTTGTCTATTAATATTTTCATTACAATTCTATCTTCGTCTGGTGATTCTCTTGTATTAATTTTCTCTTCTTTCGTTTGTTTAAGTTTTCTCGAAGTATAAATCAGAGAAAATAAGAAAAATTGGATAGAAATAAATCGATGAACTCAAGTTTTCATTATATTTTTAGTGCCAATATTTTTCTCTGACTAAATAGACCGAATAATAAATCTACAAAAAGGTTTTCGTATCGTTTTTGTCCACTGATATCTGTCAATATTAATCCGATATATGTCTATTGTTTAATCATTAAAATCATACAGACATTTGAACAGACTCTTTAATGTGTTTTAATCGAGAAATCAATCAGATAGATAATGAGGATAATTGTAAATCATTGAATGATGAAGCAAAATAGATTAAATATTGAAGCCGTATCGATAAAAATGAATCAAAATGAGATATATCAGATGACGTTGTTCAATGATAAACTATTTCAATAATTTCTATCGAATTCTTAATTAAATAGATATCGTCTAACATATCAAAGGTAAATTATTTCTTTTCGATCATCTATTCATCAAGTTGAGAATATCATTAAAATGAATAGCTTTCAATTTTTGTTGATTACATTCATTCAAAATATGCATTTTAGATATTTTAACAAATTGATCTACGAAGAAGAAAAAAAGAGTACCAAAATAAAATACTGATGATTTCTATTGGATTCTATCCATATTAATTTTATTCTTCGAACACGTACAATTGTTTGATGGGATACAGATGAAAATAATTTTGATTTCAAACCAACATCTTTTGAAAGGTATAAATGTATTCCTATGCAATTCAATGTACAAACTAGGATACTCATCGTACACGCTGCTCAAAGATGATCAAAGCAAATAAGGTGGTTTCATCTGATTAGATCTCGCAGTGATTGATCATTATTCAGCTGAGAAACAAAATCCTTGTCATTTGCTAACTGATCAATGGAGGTATTTTTGATTGTATGTAACTCAAATATCGTCAATATTTGAGAATAATCGCATTTCGATCTGGTGTCAACAATCATAACAACGGCAATATCTTATTCATCCCAAACATGAAAAGTTATATTCTTTGATCAACGCAGAGTGCTATTTCTCTTTCTAACAATTTAGCAAGATTCATTGACTTAAAATTTTTTTCATTCATTTAAAAAAAATCTCTACATTTCTTCAGAGAATATATTAGAAAACTGGTTAATGTGTATGCATTCAAAAAAAAACTCCATAGTTCATTCTTTTCATTTTCTCTGTAGTCATTATTGTATCGCCCTCATAATTAACAATTGGTTATATTTAATGATCATGTATGAAATCACCATATTATGAATTTAATCATCGGGCGTTCAACGAATTATTTGAGATTAATGTTATAAATCACGTGTGACTAGCAGCTGATTAGAATGATAACAGAACGAAGAAAAACATCATCTATTCACGGGATTCGAACAACCGCTCTTCTGCTCTCCGATACATGTCCTAAGTCAATTCGACTGGAAAGCATATTCAATGGTTGTAATGGAAAGAATGTGTAAGATTAATGAAACAAATGTATGCAGTGATAACTTATTTCTTTTTTTAATTAGGACCTACGTCTATATTTTATCTTTTGAAACTCAAACTTCGTGTAGTGAAACAATGACCTTTTTTTTTACAGGTTTTGTGTAGACTCCTAAATGTCTTCATTCAAATATTTACAATTTCACTTTATGATATCTAATCATCTTTTGTTCTTCAAAATAAACACCAGAAACACATGTTTAATATGGGAAAAACAATTATTTTTTATTCATTGAGTCTTAGTCTCATCAACTGCAGGTGGACTATCATGTAATTAATCAAAATGTAACAATACACGATAGGTAATTGTAATAAATGGAAAATAAACAACAACAATAAAAAGCACTGCTGTTGTTCATACAAAGGCAAAGAGATTATCTTTGAATTCTTGAGTGAGATAGCTTCCTTAAATCTCTCGTAGATTTATTGTCTGCATTCGATAATTCTCAACTTTTATGAAACCATTTATTTTAAATTATTTTTTTTATATCTTTCGAGTGTTTATTTCGTACTTTAGTAAATTATCATAAAATTCATGAATCTTAAGAAAGAAATATCTCAGACAAAACTCAAGAAAAGATTTTTCAAAAAATTAGTTTTGATAAGAATGCCAAACTATTGAGTTTATGTGTATATTAATATTATTCAAAGTAAAATAAAAAGAAAAACATTTTGTTGCTTCTCAAGACTATAGTGTAATATCCTCTCTTCTGTTTTTATGCGTTTGTCTTGTCGGATCGAGGCAACTTATATTAAATTGCATAATCTCGATGACTCAAGGTTTTTAAAATTTGTGAATGGAATCCTTATCGTGTATGTTTTTCTACACTGCTCTACGTGGTCGCTCATGTCGATCTTGATATTATCCCTAGAAGATCTGATAAAATTCGACGGTGTCGATTGTTGTTTGTTTCACTATCATCAATATTGAAAATACACATTCAAACCACTTTTTGAAATACTGAAGCTTTTCTTGATTCAAGAACTCCAATTTTACGAAAATTCTTGAAAGGTAAAGATTCATCATATTCAGATAGATCAAACTTCTCAAATCGTTACAACATCTGTTGACACATTCTCAGTAGATGAAGTTGTCGGACAAAAGTGCATATGAAGAAAAATCTATACTATCTCGTTTATCTTTGCCTATTGTTTCGTTCGAAACTTGGAAAAATCGACTTTCATAGTTCTATTATTTGCAATTGGTTTTTATCGTTATTCTAATTCTTTTATTTCAATAGATCATCATAAATTCATTGGATTTATCATGAACGGTAATTTTTGTTATTATGTATTAAAGTGATGTTATCCATTTCACACCAAAATATCTTTCACTTGCAATTATTTTGAATTTCAATAGAATAAGTTGAAAAGTGAAGATAATATGGATTTTAAGAAAAACTGGTAAATTAAAATTACTTAATTGTTTTAGTAGGAAAATGTGTACAATTTTGAAGAAGAAATACTAATAAACTATTTTGTTCAAAATTCAATTGTATTTGAATTGTCTTAGCGAGAAGATCATCTTAAAATTTATTTTTCGTGATACTGAATTTGCATTTTTATTCAAACGAGGGTGTGGGTGTGGGTGTGAGTTTAAAGAGCGTACCCACAACCACACACCCACACACACACTCTCACACAATTAGATAGAAAGGCACAGTCACACACCTGTAACCACATCTACAAACTTAATCCTATCTACACTTAGACAAAAGTCCTCTGATAGAAGACTGAAGCTATTTGTTTACTATCAATGGGTATATGGTTGTAAAAAGTACATTTAAAAATATCTATTATTGTCTTTTGTAACAATTGATTGTTCAACGCACTAACAAGACTTGCGTAGCAAATAATTTGATGTACCTATTTGCATTTAGCAAAAGATACATATGAAGTAGCGACATATTTTATCAACTATGATCAACAGACTTTTCAACTTCGAGAGCCAAAGAACGAACAACTGAATTTATCGTGCGTACAAACCTCGCATTTTAACGCATCAAAATGTACACTTTTTACGCATAAAAACGTGATCATTTTCGTTAGATTTCTGACTGGATATTTTTCACTGAGAAATTTCATTAAGTAAGACTTTGAAATTGTTGTATCCATCATTAATACCATAGACTCAATAGAAATCGGGGCACATCAGTACGAAAAGCAAGCTCCTATTGGATCTCCTATTTGAAGGAGATATTTTTTTAAATAAAAGAATGGTGTTGGAGAATAATTAGAAAATTATGCTAAGCTATTAAGTTACCCTCCTCTCAGTTGCTCGAGACAAGACAACAAACGGGAGAACTGAGTTTTTGTCTGTCCTTTTTTTCACTTGATAGAGAAAAACAATCAACGATTGTTATTTGTATTGACGAAGGTTATTGAAAGTATTACCAAACAAATGTAAAACTTACCGACAATAACTGATATTTAAACAATAACGCATTCCTACATGTTTAAGATAATTATCCAGTAAATCAAAAGTCTATCAGAGATCCAAGTCATTTTCTTTAAATAAGATAAAGTAGTGCGTTTCTTATGCAATAGTTTTTTACACTCAGTTTCATTATTCCTAATTACTCAGTGGTGATTTTGCAGTGCATAGTTGAAGAGAAATGAAAAATTGTAAAAGCATTCTCTAAACCTCGGTCAATCTAATGTAACCCAAAATGGCCGTCTCTTTTATTAATTTTTTCTTTTGCAATACTTTATTTATCGTTTTCAGATGAAACACAGTGTTAGATTCAAACAAGAAGATATTTTGAATTGTTGCTGCCATTTTTCTTTGTTGCACCGTCTCATTGCTTCTTGTAATCATGCAAAATACTCAAACATCACACTCATTTAAGTCCGATTTCATTTTTAATTCAAGAGTAATTTTTCGAATTGCTAGACAAGCATTTCCGTTGTGTATCGTTGATGGGCTACATTTACTTTCTTCAAGATTGCGATATTTCGTAGTTAATCAAACGAGAAGCTTAAAACATGCTGGTACTGCTAGTGAAATGTATTCTTCTTTGTAAATATACGTGAAACTATTTGATGATGCTTCAACAACTTTAACATACATGCCGAAGTTGCTATTTTCATATATTTCACTTTCAGAAGATTTTCGTGTACGCCGTAGTGACTTGCAAAGAGTCGATCGATGAATTTTATACAGAAGGGATGACACACACCCATTCACTTACACCCTCCTATTTTTTTGTCTTGATTATCTACGTTGAGCGAAATTAATTATGTAGAGTAAAGTGAATTTTCTTGGAATTCAGATGTTAAAGCAGGTGACCGATCACTTCGTCGCACGATCGCTTCGTCGCAGAACATTTTGTCGCGTTCTGTTCGTCGCAGAACAATTTTTTTTCGTTCTGTTCGTCGCATCCTACTCAATTAATTCCTGTTTTTTTAAATAACCAACTGAAATAAAATAAAATAAATTAAAAATTCTGAAAAATTTGTATGATAACGATAAACGATTGACTATTCTAAGGCATATGACTTTAATTGAGAAAACGGATCAATAAAAAATATTAATCAAAAGTGATCAAGATAGAGCTAAAGTGAATGAATAATAATTAGATTTGTCACACAATTAATGAGTTTCAACATAATCTAGACCAACAATAATACTAATCAAATGTTCTTAATTATACAACCACGATAAATCAAAATATACATTGATGAGATTGAAAATATCGTTATTGAAAATTCTATAGTGTAGAGGTAATTTTCATAGAGGAGTACTGTTTCCTTTTGCAGAAAGAAGTTCTTCCATTTGAGACGTTTATTTTGAGTAGTGTGCAGTGAATATTGAGATTGAGAAATGAAACATATTTTCAATGTCATCAGTGTATGTTTGTTTTATTGTAATCCCATAATGAAAAACATTGGATCTGTGTTATCGTTGGCATAGATTATGTTGAAACTCATTAATTGTGTGGCAAATCTAATTATTCTTCGTTCACTTTAGCTCTATCTTGATCACTTTTGATTAATATTTTTTATTGATCCATTTTCTCAATTAAAGTCATATGCCTTAGAATAGTCAATCGTTTATCTTTATCATACAAATTTTCCAGAATTTTTAATTTATTTTATTTTATTTCAGTTGGTTATCTAAAAAAACAGGAATTAATTGAGTAGGATGCGACGAACAGAACGAAAGAAATTATTCTGCAACGAACAGAACGAAAAAAAAATTGTTCTGCGACGAAGCGATCGTGCGACGAAATGATTGTGACGAAGTGTCGTGCAACGAAATGTACTAGTACCGCTAAAGCTTACAGTTCTTTATTGAAGTCAATGATTACACTGCAAAGCACTGTTTGTCAATATTTTCCATATGAATATGACTTATGAAGGCTTTTTTATAATTGGAAAAAAGTCAATCAATCTCGTCAATATAAATGGAAGAAATTCAGATTATTTTTCTCACTTGAATGGAATTTTCGACCATTCTATATGTAATATTGTTTTCCAAATATTTCAAAGTAGTTTAATTGTGTGTTTTAATTCAGACTAGCTGTTCTAGGCGAAGTTGTAGAGTTACTCTCGACTCGTCCCCAACTGGTCCCCAATTCGTCCCCAACTCGTCCCCTCCGCATTAATTGACTCTCAATTCGTCCCCCACAAAATTCATACCCCGTTAATTGATTCTCAATTCGTCCCCCAATCCAATAGCCACTAATTGGTGGCTAATTTGATAAACAGACGATTTTCAACAATCAGCTGTTTTATTCAAGAGTAACAAAGAAACAAGAAAAAAAATAAAAGAAACAAAAATCATTTGACAAGTTTTGTCTTCAAAGCGCGTCCGTATTTGATCGCGAGTTGCATGTCAGTGATCAATCCGCCCTTATGGTCGTTAAGAAGGAGCTCGAGATTCTCGGGTGAGTGTGGGTGTGGTTGAAGACTAGAGCCATATCCATATCCACATCAACACCCACAACCTACGAGCTTTAACGATTTCTTGTGTATAGGTTTTCGGGATCGGCGTAGTCTCCTCTCGTGCACGTTTTTTCATATTACCAACTGCTTTGTCGACTAGAGATTTGCCGACAGAAGCTGGTTGTTGAAAAGTATGAGTAGAGGGCTCGCGAAGAACTTTTGCATCGACTATGCAAAGAGAAAGCATGCTGGCACAACCACGATCTCGACAACGCCACTCGTTGCTCGTCTTTCTCGCACGCTTCTTTGTGTATTGATGAGAATTGTAATTGAGTATAGGTTGACCGCGCTCCGAAGATGTGAATAGCAGCATTTCTCAGAGCAAAGATAATGTCAATAGGGAAACTAATACACTACTAAGAAAACATCATATATATATATACAGAGTGCTCTACGCAGCAATCAATTTTCTGACTGATGACTATTATTCCTATATTTGTTTCTAATTGTTTCTGAACAGGGACGGGCTAATTGAGGGGACGAATTGAGAATCAATCAACTAGGAACGAATTTTGTTGGGGACGAATTGAGAGTCAATTAAGGGGGGACCAGTTGGGATAATTGGCAAGGGGGACCAGTCGAGAGGATCCCGAAGTTGTATGAAGTTAAATTTCAACTAGAATCGAATAAAAGCATGAGAAACCTATTTATAATCGCTCAAATTGTTGACAAGCTGTTCATGTTGAATTTTTGTGAGGGTATGAGTGTAGGTAGATGTGGGTGTGGGGTGTGGGGTGGGGGTGTGGACGTAGGTGCGGATGTTACTCTTATATTATTCACACTCACACTGTTCTAAAATAGTTTCTTTTTTTTTCTTTTCACTCATTCATATCCTTCTTGTTTTTTTTCTTTTTAATAATTATACAATTGAAGAACATAATTATTTTTTTATTGGCGTGACCTAACATTCATTCACTTCTATTGATTTGTCTCTGAGAAGTTTTTTCTCAACATGAAAAAATTTAAAATAACACCAATCAATTTCGACAATATGATGTTGGTCGATAAATGTCTTGATTTTTTCTTCGTTTTCTCCAAAGAAAACCATTAACTGTTGCAACATTCAATCTCTGTCCTTGATCGTCAATATCTTTTTCTAAAGGAATATTTTCATTAATTTGATTAACAAGATGATAAACAACTAACATAGGTCCAGCACAAATTTTCATTTCATCTTCATCACGAAATGGAATTCATTTTTCACGTTTTAAATGTGTTTTTAATGTTAATAAATAAATTAATATTCCTTCATAAGATAAAACTTGAGGAATACGATAATCAGCAATCATTATTATAAACATCCTAAAAAAAATGATTTCTTTTGCTTTTAAAAAAAAATGAACCATGTCAGTAATATGTCCTAAGCCATGTTCATTATAACATCCCCAAATATCAGAAACTAAGGTTTCTGCTCGTTTATAAAAAGGAATTAAAAATGAAGAAAAAAAAGAAAAGATTTGGTTTATTTTTAAAAAGAGATGAAAACTTTTTTGTCCTTGATAAATAATTTGATCATGATATGGTGTAAGTTTTGGTGTGGGTGGATGTTTAAATTGCGAGTGTTCCGTGTTCCTCAACTCACACCCACGCTCACACTGTTAAATGTACAGCACCCTCTCACTTAATTATCGTTGTATACTTTTTCTTCATAATAGCATAAAATGTAGAGAAAGGCAATAAAGAGAGAAGAATATTGAAAGAAAGAAAAAATACGCAAGAATGAGTACTCAACGTAAATGAACTACCTGATAACAATTTCATAGTCTATTGATTCACGTAAACATGAGTAGGTGGTACGAAGATGGACTGATTTCATCGATTATAAATACGAAGCAAAATTAATTACAAGCACACAAAACAAAATTCGTACACTCCAATATCATTTCACAAGTATGTAAATATGAATTTTCAACATTACTAGAGTAGTGATTAAATTAAACTGAAATATCGAGCGTAATTACAAAGAACAAAATATGAGAAGACATCAATATAAGGCATATTAAGTAACAGAAAGTAATTATCAGGAAAATGATGATTGACAATGCTCAGAGTATGGAATCAATGACTTTGGTTGAAGCAGCTCTTAGACATAAAATAGTGTTACTGAAAAACTATGTTAAACAGAATGATCTTTACAATGCTTACATTTTATCGAACATTGCAGTAATAGATGATACAAATTTTACTCTTAAGAAGTCAACAAAGAAGTTAGGTTAAGAATTTCTTATGGAATTTTTTTAATGATGTCGTAGCATTGCAAAATGTATTTGAACATCAAAGCAAAGGCTCTTCATTTACAGAACTAGAAAACCTCACAATTTTTCAAATGCACTTCATAGCAGAATTTTTCTTCCATAAAATCGTTTTCATACATTGAAAATGGTTATTAATCAAAGTCATGAAAGTTATTTCGAAGAAAATATTCATTTTACTCCATGACATTGAAACACATCACAAGTTATGTCTGCTTGATCATGCGAGTGCGTTTTTTTTCATCTTTTTAATTTTAAATTCATGAAAATTAAGATATTTTCTTGATTTCTTGAGTTCCTGGATACCATAACGAAGAAAAAAAGGCAACATATTCAAACTACCCTCATATTGTTTTTAATAGTTCTTAGAGCAGCTTACATAATTGAGATGCGTTTAGGTTTTCAAGTATAGGTATTTTAGTTCTCTTAGTAAAAAGTTTTTTTTTCCTATAGCGAAATAAGTTCAGCACATTTTTCGTTAGCCAATTATAACTGAAAACAGTTTTATACGCCGTTCAGTATAGAACTTTATGGGCTACATTTTGGCATAAAAGCATTCATCTTGATATTAAAATATTAATCAATTGTTATATAACTATTAGTCAACTATCATTTACTAATAATTAATAGCCAATTAGTAAGACTTCGCTTTTTTTTTTCAATTTTCAAGTAATCCATGAGAAAGAGCATTAAAAATTGAATAAAATTATGTAATCATTATTTCAAAATAGACTATCCTAATTAGACTTTCAGTTATTTTTAGCTTCAACTAGTTATAGTACTTATTATTTTGACGAATGTTAAAAATGAGACAAAAGTTTAAATCTGAAATAAAAACCAATAAAGTTTGAGAAGCACAATTTTCTCTTTCAAAAGACATGTTTCTGCCATCAGAACATTATTCTTTTCAAATGTCACAACGGTCTTAAATTATGAACTGCAAACAGACAGAAAAATAGCTACAAATCATGATCTAAACTATTTCGTAAAACATAAAGCTACAACAGTTGACCAAAATAACGCTCAGGAAGCGCTGATTAGCTTTAAATCAGTTTGGTTCTAAAAAAACACGAACCGATTCCATCTCTGTGATACACTGAAAAGTAAGATTAGAAAGAGAATTTTTCATGGTTGGAAGAACTCATTAATAAAGTAATTGGATAAGATGATTTTAATTTTATTTCGTAGAAATTTTTTACCTATATTTAAAATTAAAATTTGCTAGTAATTCACGGAACTATAGATAAGATATAGACATTGATATAATGCCAGGATCGATATTTGTTGAAAATAATCTTTTTTTGTTTTTGCAGCATTGATTTGTTTGCTAAGACTAAAGAGTCCGCGGTCTAGTTTTGTGAACTTATATTATCAGATCAGTCACAATGAAAAAAATAATTAAAAGAAAAACCTCACGTAGGAGGTATTGACGCTAGTTTCTTTCTATGTCACCAATTAGGATTCATTGCTTCCTTTTGTGCAACTTCAGTTGTGCATAGACACAAATTAGATGAAGGCATCCTGCATCACAGATATTCTTTATTTCTCTTTGCTTTCTCTTTAAGAAATTATGGAATCAGTATTCTCAACTCTATCTAGTTCTACTTTGCTACAAGATCGAATTTTGCTCGTCTTTTCATTACTTATTGGCGGTATTGCTGCCATTTCCGTTATCCTTCGAACTCCTTCTTCATTGTATTTCAAATCTACCATCAAGAGATTTATTCGAATTCAAATGCAAAAACGAATGTTTGCTCCAAGGATTCGAGCATCAGAGACAGGTGCATTCGTATCGTATTATCAAAACTTCCTTTGTCATCTGCAGGAAACAAATAATGAGTTATTAGCAAAGATTCTCCGAAACAATTGCTCATCTGCATTTTTCCGGGATCGATCAATTTCATTCCTATCATATCATCGTCCTTCAGCTTATCGTTCTGAAGAAGAAGGATATGCAACAATCGATGAGTTTCGAGAGAAAGTGCCATTGACTACATACGAAGACTATCGCGATTATGTCGATCGAATGGTTCGTAATGGAGAAACGAACATACTCACTTCTCAAAAAATCAACTACTTTGCAACAAGCTCCGGAACAACGGGAAAGACGAAACTTCTTCCGACGACTGCAACCATGATAAGCAATATGTTGACGCTGGGATGCATCGGAGTCAGTGTGATTTGGAGATCTCTTCCTTCATTATTTCCCTCTTCTGAACGACGAGCATTCCAACTGAACAGCGGAAAGAAAGTCGAAAAGTATCCTTGCTCGAAAGATGGCATACCAATAGGTCCAATTTCCCAATGTTTTTCAGTAGTTAAGCTTAATCTTGTACTGAGAACAATCTGGGCTAGCCATAGTATTCTTGCGCCTTATTTGATGGAAGAAATCTCTGACTTTGAGACAAATACATTCGTTCAGCTCACTTTTGCATTAGCACGTCATGATATATATTCCTATACGGTTATGTTTGCTCCATGTTTCATTCATACAGTTAAAATTATCGAAAAATACTTTGAAGAAATGAGTCTTTGCATCGCTTCTGCTAATTTTGACTACAGCTCTCTTGTTCGGGACAATATTCAAGACTCAAAATTTCGAGCGAAGCTTAATCGAGCGTTGAATGAGGTAACTATCGAGTACGGAGGAATAAAATACCAATTGGAACGAGCTGAACATATTCGAAAAGAAGGTCAAAAGAAAGATGTTCCTGGTATTCTTCATCGTCTTTGGCCAACTCTGGTTTATGCAATGACGGCGATAGGAAGTTCATTTGCCATATACAGAGATGAGATCCGATTTTATTGTGGAGACAAACTACCTCTCATCAACTACGCGTTTTACTCCACTAGCGAAGGGCTTCTTGGATCTCTCGCTAGTATTCATACCAACGAGTATTTTCTGTCACCAACATGTGCCTTCTTCGAATTTATTAAAGAAGAAGATATGGATCAGGTATGTTATTTTCCAATATAGATCGCCGTCTTTGATTTCATGAGAAGTATGCTCTATATGTAAGCATTTTCTTTTTGCTTAGGCTCAACCAAAGACCCTGCTCATCTCAGAGATCGAACCAGGAAATCGATATGAATTGGTTTGCACAACCGAAGCAGGATTGGTTCGATACCGATTGGGTGATGTCATCGATTGCACACGATTTGCTTCTCGGGCGGATGATTTGGTTCCATTACCAACCGAACCAGTAGATATTCCTCGAATTCCTCTCGTTTCAATTGCATATCGTGTTGGAAGTCTTTTGGATATATTTGCAGAAAAGACAAGTGAGCAACATGTGATGAATGCTCTCAAACAAACTATACAAGAATGGAGAGAGCAAGGAATATCTGTTGACATATGCGATTTCACGACATATCCAAAATTAGATACGCTTCCACCTCAGTATGTCATCTTTTTGGAGTTGATCGACGAACAAGGATGCAAAATTGATGATCAACTATTACGAGTTCTTCAAAAGATGGCAGACTCTGAAGTCGATCGACAACTTTGCAAAGCAAATGAAAGATATGGGTATAATCGTAATGTAAAAAAACTTAGTCTTCTTACATGTATTCTTGTTCGCAGTGGAACATTCTCGACATTTTTACGAAAAGAGTTGTTGACTGGTCGTGTAAATCTAATACAAATCAAACCTTATCGATTATTGAAGAACGAACATAATATTCAATTCTTTTATGATAATAAAATTGACATTTCATCATGTTAAACCTTACTCCTGATTTTGAAATGACATTGACCATTTTTAACATTAATAATTTATTGTACCATGTTGAGGTTCATAGAAAAATAAAATAACAGAAAGAAAAATAACATCAAATAAAATAAGAAAAAAGTTAACAAACAACAATGCGAATCACACCACGAAATACATATAATAGACGCACGCGTATAAGTATAAAGAAAAGAAATTGTAGACATCGAAAATCAAGAGCCATGAATAAAGAGAGACTAAACGTAATAAGGTCGAGTAAAAGAGATAGAACATATAAATTTTTTTAATAGTTGAAGTAATTCAAAT